CTTCATCCTATCCTTTTGCTAAGTGGAGATGAACACGCCAGTCCATTCACTCTAACCTTGGGGGCTGTTGGGAGGATAACATTAAATAGTATTTCGTTAAGGAGTTCTGGAAAACACACCCTGAAGTAGTGTAGACCCGACGTCTTGAGGGGGAGATGTGGCCAGGGGTACTCAGAACCCCCGCTCCCCTACGTGGTATAATCCCCGGAAGGTTGCCTAGTGCATACCGAAGTTGCTCAGTGAAGGCTAGGTGAGCTACTGTCACTCAGGGCTGCTGGGGGGTAGTTCCTCCTCCCTGCACCCTCTGCCAGATGGTGATAAGGTGCCTACTGCCACGGGAGAAGGTGGCTGCCTCGATTAGATGGGTTTTTATGAATCATGATTTAAAAGGGGGACACTTACTCCTCCCTCGCTCTATTCTCTTTCCTTCCCACCAGTTACCCCCTTCCAGAATGATCTTGTTTGTTCTTTTGCTTCTGACCCACCTCACCCATATCTGCTCCATCCTGAAAGGAATTTTTCTTTTGTGCCCCCACCTCCTTGAATGGCGCCTAGTACCAATGGGAGTTCAATAAATGAGCGAATAATGAAATGAATGAGACACTGGCTTTGGAAGCAGCTAACACTGAAGGAGGAACTGGCTTTGGGCGGTAACTAATTTGTTAGATCAGAGCTCGTAGGTCATCTCCTACAGGAAATGCTCCCAGACGTTCCCAAGGCAAGGTCAGGTGCCCTGACTGGCTGTTCTCCTAGTATGCTGAACCTCCACTTCATAACTGGCTTCTGTCTGTGCCACTTGGCCTTACCTCTGCCTCATACACTAGATGGGAAGACCCCCGAAGTCTGTAAAGGGCCTGTAGTTTCTCATTGTAACTCTGAAGCCTACACAGTGCATGAGAAAAAAAGGTTGGGGGTGAGGGAACTTTGGGGAAAATCTATACGGAAGGAAGGAAGCAGACTGGCCAGATAGAAGAGGTGGGAGGGCAGCAAGGATATGTGAGAAATGCCTGGAAAAAATATCAAATAAACACTGGGCCAGTCCCAGCCCTGTAAGTATACCTCTGAACGTCAGTGTTTTTATCTGTAAGGTGGAGTCACCCATCCAGCCCCAACTCTGTCACAGGGACTGGAGGAACTGTAGTAAATGATACTGGCACATAAACAACTAAAATAAACAAAATAAACTAATAACACTAAAATTAGGACAATAATAATGGCTGACACTCAGGTATCATAGGTGTAGGCAAATGTATTTAATCCTCACATTAGCCTTATGAGACAAATACTCTGATATTTGGAATCCACATCATTGGCTAGAGTTGCAATCATATCTTCCTGGTGAACCAAACTTGTGATTGTTATAATGTGCCCCATGTTATCTCTATGCTTCTTGCCTTAGAGTGGACTTTGTCTGATATTAAGTTGCACGGCTGCTTTCTTGGTTCTTGTTTTAAAGTTTCCATCCTTTTCTATCCCTTATCTTCCATCTTTCCATACACTTATGTTATACACGTATCTCTTGTAAGTTGCATAGAACCAGGTTTTGTCTTTTGATCCAGTCTGCCCATCTTTGTCTTTCAACTGGGGCATTGGGTCTCTTTACACTTAATGTAATTATGGACATATTAGGACTTAATCTGCCTTCTTACATGTTTCTTCTCCATCACACCTTTCTTCTGCTCCTTTTCTCTCTTGCCTTCTTTAGGATTGGATACATGCATTTTGGTAAGACTCTTATTATTCTATATATAGGCACTATAAACTAAGGCACAGAGAAGTTAATTACCTTGTTCAAAGTTAAGAATGATGAAAGGCACAATGGGCCAGGTCCCTTCCCTCACTGACTTTGTGTTCCAGCCAGAGGTCTGGATACTGCACAGGCAATATGTAGATAACTATCTAATTTCAGCTGTGATGAGTGCTATGTAGGAAATAAAACTGAAAAAAGTGGCAGAGAAAGGCTTCCAGTCCGAAGACTTATGCCTTTCCACCACGAATGTTCCCATCACTGGGCTGAGTGGTTCATTAACTTTCCACCCTCTACCTCAAATGTACAAAGGAGGAAAACATTTTTGTTTCCATTCCACAGTACACAAAACATTCGGGACTGGCCAAGTCCTTTTTTGGCCTGGCATACAACCCCACCCGCTTCTAGGACCCTTATAAATGTTTTAGGGCTTTTAACAGCCCCAACAGACTCATTGAAAAGCTTGACTTATCCAACCTGGGTCTCTTCTGCTGCAGCCTGCAGACAGAGCCATGGTTCCGTTTTTCCCCGCAGCCCCTGCCCCTGCCCTGCCACATGGACTCCTCTCAACACTGGCTGTTGTCTGGCTCACTGACCTCCACGGTTTTTACAAAAATAAAGTCTATATTATGTGCTTTCCTACCATGCTGCCTTTTCTCTTGTGATTCCCTTAGCCCTGAATAACTGTCAGCACCTATGAAACTCCCAATCCTACCTCCAAATCCCATCCAGATATACTTGCTTCCCTGTAGTCAAAAATATATCCCACTTTTCAGATTTCTCCAGCCTTGGGTCTCTCATCCCTGTAGCTCAGGACTGTGGCATACATGGCCGGAAATGTCTGTGTCAGACTGTCTCCCTTTGTCCTCCAGGGCTAAGCCTGGACTGAGTATTCTCTTGATCCTCAGAACATGGGCCACATCAAGAGAGGGTGACTAGATAGTTTACTGAACAATTGTTTGAACTGCTTGTTGAACTAAATATATAAGAATGCTAGTCCTCATTAACTTTTCAGTGAATAAAAGCAGCAGCGTGGAGGTAATAATACAATTTACCGAGGGCTTACAATGGGTCGAGCCTTGTTATAAGGAACTTAATGTGCTTGTTTTCATAAGATTAAGCCAGTTGCCCAAGGCTATCCAACTAGGATGTGACAGAATTGGAAATTAGAACTCAGATATGTTCAATTCCAGGGCACTTAAAGAGTCTTGTATGTGCCCAAGGACTTGTGTGTATCTCCCAAACTTTCAACAATCTCCCAAGCTTTCAACAGAAGATGCTGTGATTACCCGGGCTCACAGTTAACAAACTAAGATCCAGAAAAATTACACATGTAACATACACACATCATAAGACCTCGATTAATGATAATGAATTGCTAGCATCTATTGAGCAATTACCATTTGCCCCGTTTTGCTCATGATTTTCAGTATGCACACAGGGGGCAGATATAGAAGTATATATGCATGTATGCATTGGTTAGTAGATGTAGAAATCTAACTCTGACAGTTGAGAGGGTCTCTAAGCAGTGAGTATACCCAGCACTCAGAGGTTAGTTTCTAAATAACACTCTCCAAAAATGGAACCAGAATCCTTGGAGAAAAGGCTGATTCCAAGGATATTCTATAGCAAACAAGAAGCCCTGGCTAGTGTGGCTCATTGGATTAAGTGCCAGCCTGCAAACTGAAAAGTCGCTGGTTAGATTAGCAGTCAGGGCATATGGTTGCAGGCCAGGTCCCCAGTAGGGGGTGTGGGAGAGGCAACCACACATTGATGTTTCTCTACCTCTCTTTCTCCCTCCCTTCCCCTCTCTCTAAAAATAAATAAATGAAATATTTTCAAAAATAAAAATTATCGCCCCTGGCTGGTGTAGCTCAGTGGATTGAGCACAGGCCTGTGAACCAAAAGATCACGGTTCGATTTCCAGTCAGGGCACATGCCTGGGTTGCAGGCCAGTTCCCAGCAGGGCACGCATGAGAAGCAACCATACATTGATATTTCTCTCCCTCTTCCCTTCCCTTTCCATCTAAAGATAAATAAATAAAAATTTTAAAAATGAAATTACAAAAAATAAAAGTTATCTTTTAAAAACTTTTAAAAATAATAAAGCAAACAGGGAAAAGTAAGGAAGTACTCAGAGAAAGATGGAGACATATCAACAGGCCATAGGTGCTAACTGAAAGGGGCAGCAAAAGCAAAATAGATAATATAGTATTTAAATATAACATACAGTATAAAAATACTAATTTATTCAGTGATATAAATACGTGACTAAATGCATAATTGGAGAATAAACAGCTCTTGTTTACAATAGAACTCCAATTAATAAACAGAAAATCACCATTATATAAACATCATAGAAATAATTGTTACCGGCAAGAGCCATGATGGATGCTAAAACTAGTGGATAAATGTTTAAAAAGGCCCTGACCGGCTAGCTCAGTTGATTAGAGCATCATCCCAATACCTAAGCTTGTGGGTTTGATATCCAGTCAGGACACCTACAAGAATCAACTGACTCCATGAATAAGTCAAACAACCAATCGATATTTCTCTCTCAAACCAATTTTTAAAAAGTAAAATAAAATGTTTTTTAAAAACCTAGGGTATTTGCATTGTCTCTTAATTATCTCCCCATAGGATACTTATTAATTGCAAAGGAGAAAACAGTGACTTGATAGTTGAGAAACTGGCAAGGCACTGCAGTAAGCAAGCTATCAGTCAAAACCGCGTGCCTCCTGGTACGATGCATTGAAGACTTGACACCTTTGGGAGCCCTGTCAAAACTCCTCAACTTCGGTCAAATTCTGAGGAAACTGGATAAAACCATATTGATGGGTGTTCTACAAAACCATCGGTCTTCCAAAACATTAAGGTCATGAGAGTTTAGGAAAGACTGAGGAACTGTCACAGAACAAAGAAATATCCGAAGGAGATGTGACTAAATGGGACCCCGGACCAGTAGAAAGGTCAGCAAATATACCACTGATACAACGACGCCTTCCGCTCTGCCTTGGAACTCGGGCTTTGAAAACTACGCAGACGCGACGGGGACTACTTGATTGGCTATGCGTTGTGACGCACTGCCGAACGGCAACTACTCATTAGTCCCACCGTTTCCTGCCGCGCCTCCACGCAGGCAAGTTGGTGCCGAACAAGTCGCCGCCTCCGGAGATCACACGAATGGTGCGTGGTGACGTCACAGCGGCGCGGGCGCCATCCCGGAAGCGCAAGCAAGGCCGCCAGATGTGCAGGTGCTGCTGCCACCGACGCCGGGCCAAGTTCTGGGTGGGCCTGGGGCCGCCGGTACAGCTGGGGAGTCAGGCCAGGTCGGGTGCGGCCTCTAGGCTGTCGCGGAGTGGGGTGCGCTAGTGGCCACGTCTGCACACCCCTCCTGTACACAGACCTCAGTTTCCCCGTCTGTTAAGTGGATCCGGGTCCAGGTTGCGGGAGTTGGGGCCTCCTGTGTTCAGGTCTGCAGTGTCACCCGGATCTGGGCGTTGCCCTCCTGGGCCTCAGTTTCCCCGATTTGCTGGGGCGGGGTGCGAGGGGATATGCGAGCCCCGTCCTCACTCCGGGGTTTTGCTAAGCTTGGGCTGCCAAATTAAATTCTGTTAAAAGACCTGGGTAGAATTGCGGCGCCTCTACGCCTCTCCGTTTGATCTTGGGTGACGGGTCCCACCCCTGTGAGCTTTAGTTGCCCTCGGAGACGAACGATAGTGTCTGCCTTGTAGGGGTGATTGGGGTTTAAATTTGCTCATATTCCTGGGAGCATCAGGGAGGCCCTCGTCAAATATGCTGATTCTCACGCCCCCTCCTGGGACTTCTTTACACTACCCTTGGATAAAGAGACCGCCCCGAGTTCAGCTTCTTATTGTTGGATTCAGTCCCCAAAGACAGCACTGTGAGATTCTGATTCTTTGTTATTACCATTTTCTGCATGAGAAAACTGGTCCAGGGAGGTGAGGTGATTTTCCGAAGGTCATACAGCCTCCCCCTCTGCGTGTTTCTCTCATAAATGTATTTGGAGCAGGGCCCAGAGCCCTAGTTGGGTCATTTCCACTCTTATGTGGCACAGACTAGTTGTACAGACTAGTCAGGGAAGTCTTCTTGAGAGAAGCAGCTGGAAGTTGAGGGTGTGCCTTGAATCTCACATCTGGGAGCCAGAGACAGGAAACAGCCCAACTTTGAAGCAGAACCATTTCCTGCAGGTCCAAATCCTGTGCTTGCCAGTCTGGTGGTGGGTTTCCCACCACATGGTCCTGCCCTTTGAACCCAAGTATACATGATCATGCTTTTATTGAAATGTGGAGCCTGTGGGTGCCCATAGCTGGCACATAATGGGAGTTCAATAAACAGTGATTATTGGCAGAGGGGCAGGATTTCACCAGGTGGTGGTATGGTAGCCTATTTCCAAAAGACAGGTAGGGGTTGCAAACTGCTAGCCAGATTCAGGGCAGAAATACTCTTGGTCTCCATGGTGTTTGGGGGGGAAAAGTATCAGTTGCTAACATTTGTAAATGAGGCGATTTCACAGAAAAAAAAATCTCTATTTCTGTTTTGTTTGTTTGTTTGTTTCTTCCTGGAAAAAAATCAGAAGTCTGGCAGGAAGCAACTGCAGTAAGAAACTGCTGTGTTGTCATGGGTAGATACTGAACATCTGTACAGATTTACACCTTTGTAGATTCAGCGGACTGTGGACATTTGAGTAGTGACTCAGGTTCACTGGCCATGTAACAGTGGCCCAGTGCCTCAGTCTCTCTGAGCCTCAGCTTTCTCATATATAAGTAAGGGTTATAGTTTCCATGTATAAAGTAGGTAATTTGTTTACCATAAAGTTGGTGCTGAGTAAAAACGAGGGTGGAGGAAGTAGGCTCTGAAAGCCCTTCCTGATCCTGGGTGTAAATCTTTACCAATGGCAAATGGGCCTTTCTGTTGGCCATTAAATGTGTATGCCCTAGGAACAAGCTATGTCATCATTCTAGGTTTTTCCTGAAGCCCCCCCCCCCCCACCAGGAGAATCAGTGCTGGAGCTGGAGCTTTTTTTAAAAGATTTTATTTATTTTTTAGAGAGCAGAGACAGGAGGAAGAGTGGAACATTGATATGCAAGAGAAACATCAATAGGTTGCCTTTCACATGCCCCTAGTTGGGGACCTAGCCCACAACTCAGGCATGTGCCCTGACCACAAATTGAACCAGCAACCTTTTGGTTCATAGGTCAGTGCTCAATTCACTGACCCACCCCAATCAGGGTTGTGGCCTTCTTTTTCCTGTCCTGATCCAGAAGCCCCCACAAACTGGGATGATTATCTGTGTGCCAGGGAATCTGAGGGCCATAGAGCTATCTGGATTGCTGGGCCCCACAGCCTGGGTGCAAGTGCCTGAAATTCTTGGCTTTAATTTGCCGTTAAGTCTAGTGTCAGAGCAGAGTTTGAGTGGTCTGTTTGCTTCTGCCAGATGAAGTTCTGGTGATCCCTTGCTGTGAGCCAGGTTCTGGGCTGGGCCCTAGAGACACAGCAGTAAGTGAGAGAGACACACTTTGACTCTCTTGGAGCTGATACTGCTATGGGAAGACAGGCAAACAGGTCTACTGATAACTAAGATGAGACAGTGAAGCAATGAAAACAAAATGAAGTGACGAGAGTAGGGAGAATCATCAAGGACTTCCTGGGAGCGAAGTCCCTGGAGGTGGTAATGATTTGAAGGGGCAGCCTTGCATGTTGTGCTAGTGGGGACAGCAGGTGGAAAGGCCCTGAAGTAGGAATGGGCAAAGGTAGAGGTGGGAGTGTGTGGGAAGAAGTGGGCAGATCTGTGCAAGTAGAAGGTACCACTGGCTTTGGGCACATCGAGAGTGGGCGCTGGAGAGGAGAGATGGGATTCTGATGTGCTTCGGTGCAAGTTATAAATGTAATCTGGAGTTCTTGAAAAACCCCAAATTCCCAAGATGACAACTGAGGCTCAGGTGGCATGACCAACTCACATTTAAGCACCCTGTGGGGTTTCCAGGCCCTTCTCTCTGTCCCGTCTGCCCCAGTGCCTGGTGCAGACTGAAGACTTTCTTCCTCCCTATTTCAGGCAGCGGAGGAGGAGGAAGAGATGGACCCCCCGGACTCGGCCTCGAGGGTCTTCTGCAGCCGCATCCTGAGCATGGTGAATGTGGATGACGTCAATGCCATAATCCTGGCTCAGAAGAACATGTGAGTGGTGGCCAAGGGCCCTGGGCCCAAGCGTGGGAAGGAATCCACTTTACCGGCCAGCATTCTTTCCCTGCCCGTCCCTACCCTGGCCCCATACTGGTGATAAAATGAAGGAAATGAGCAAATCTGCTGGCTGGCTCCAAAGGAAATTTTTTCACGGCCTGGAGGTAACGCCTTGGCACAGGAAACAGGGCTTTGGGATGGTTTCACAGCTGCGGATGGCTTGGCAGGGTCCGCAACAGCTCCTGTCCCAAGTCCTGGAGTGGGGAGAGTTGGGAGAATAGGAACGGCTGCTGGGGGATATAAGGGAGCCGGTGAGCTGACTTCCTGTTGGGAGCGTGGTTTCTCAGAGCCCAGGCTGTCTGCAGAGCATGCCCCTTTGTCCTTCTTGGGCCTTGGCACCATGGTCACTGTGGCCCAAGTAATCTGGGCGTGTCCTGTAGGAAAGAAGGGCTGACACAATCTTGGGGTGGAAACACGGACTTCATTTTTGTGTCTTTAGGCCAAAGGTTCTTCCTTCCATTTATTTTTTTTATATATTTTATTGATTATGCCATTACAGTTGTTCTGTTCCCCCCTTCATTCCCCTCCACCCTGCACACCCCCTCCCTAACCATTCCCCCCCTTTAGTTTATGACCACGTGTCTCAAGTTCTTTAGATTCTATCTTCCTTCCATTTATGACACAGCATGGACCTAATACCCTTACCTTCTGTGGTACCCTGTGACAGAGTTGCCAGTTATGTCTGGGTACCAGCAATACCTATTTTTCTCCTAGTTCTTTAGGTTAGATTCAGACTGGGCCCTGGGGAATTCCTAGCGTGAGGGAAGACAAAACCAGACACAAACCTTCTTGGTGTCATGGTGTCAGGGGTGTATTAGAGAAACAACCTGGGGCTAGAGGAGTCAAAGAGCCTGCTTGAAAGAGAGGGTGAAGGCTACATAGGAAGGGCACACTTGAGTAGGGCTTTGAAGGTTGAATAGTAGTTTGCTGGATGGCTCAATCATCAAGTAAAGCTTTGTAGGACAAGGGAATACCACATAGAAATCTCATGGAGCAAGAACGTGGCTTAACATGGCTCAGTTAACAGAGCCTTGGAGGCTGAGCAGAGGCATTGGCCCTCACTCTGTCACAGGCTGGACCGCTTTGAGAAGACCAATGAGATGCTGGCAAACTTCAACAACCTATCAAGTGCCCGCCTGCAGCAAATGAGTGAGCGCTTCCTGCACCACACGAGGACCCTGGTGGAGATGAAGCGGGACCTGGACAGCATCTTCCGCAGGATCAGGTGGGTGCTTTGCCCTGCTGGCCTCTGCCTCCCGCTCTGAGCCTTGGGTCCTCCCCTTTTTAATAGAGCTACCCGCTCCATGTAACAGAGTGACAGGGAGATCCAGCTTGCTTGTTTTACAAGGCTTCATTGCTTAGTTAGTATCCAAAAAGATCTGAACTCTGGGATCCTGAAGTTTCTGAATTTAAATTTTATCTTTTGATAAGTGCAAAGTAGCACCAGACACATGATGCAGAAAAGGCAAGCAAAGAGCTGACAGTAAAAGGCCAGCCTCCTGTCCCCTTAACCCTCTATCCAAGTCTTCTCTCAAGAGGCAAATCAGATTGCTGGATCTAGAGTGCCAGCAGCTAGCACTGCCCACCTCTCCTGACCTGCTCAGTGGGCCTCATCTCAGCCTCCACACAGACACCCTCACTGAGGATGCCCACACTGACGTGGGAGTTCCACAGGGCCCTCCAACCCAGAACAGTGTGACAAGCAGTGAGAGGGAGGTTCCCACCACCTACCCACCCACCCAGAGCTGACAGCAAGGGTTGTTAGCCTTCACAGGGCCCAGTCTATCTGCTCAAGGGGTTCAGCCTATGTGCCTTCCCTTCCCCTGCAGGACACTGAAAGGGAAGCTGGCCAGGCAGCACCCAGAGGCCTTCAGCCGTAAGTGTCACCCAGGGCTCCTGTGCCCCATGTCTGGTCTCTGCAACACTTGGATGACAGCATTTTCAGTGCAGTGCTGGCTCTTCGAAGGTTACCCCAGGGGTTGGTGGGCAGTGGGTCCAGAAACCTGGGGCAGAGAGCAGGGGTGGGGTTGCTAGCCTGGCCTTCTTGGCAACCTGCAGAGCCAGTGCAGGGACTAGGGTCCCCTCCCTGGGGGGAGGCTGCATGGGGGAACATGGATAAGAAAAATGGCAATCCTTGCCCCAGTGAGTGTCATGTACCCCTACAATCAGGCTGTTACCCCAAACCACCTTTGAGGTAGGGGCTGTGAGTATCCTCATTTTACACAGCAAAACGGAGGCCCAGAGGGGCATCAACTTCTCAGAGGAAGCACAGCATTCCCTTACACTGAGCCTCAGTTTACTCCATGTGCTGAATGGGCCAACAGCTCCCCCTACACCCTTTTCTGCTGACAACCACAGGTATGAGGCAATGCTGTTGTCATCAGCCCTAGTGTATCAAGGAAGGAGGTGAAGCAAGGGCAGGTGAGGGGCCTGGCTTAGGTGACATAGTCAAGGGCAGAGCTGGGTTCAGGCTCACCCCCAAGACCCACATCAACATGATCCAGAGAACCTGAGTCCTCATGTCACCTCACCTTGAAGGGAGGCCTCTCACCTGCCTGGGCCTCAGCTCCATCTTCATAAAATGGATGAAGTTGAGTCCCATGGAGGCAGGGAGAGAAGGTTGCTACCAGGGGATCACAGGCCCAGTTAATCCCTCATTACAGCGACTAAGCCCACTCCTGCCTGGGCCTCCTTTCCCCAGACATCCCGGAAGCATCCCTCCTGGAGGACGACGATGAAGACCCCATTCCGCCCAGCACCACAACCACCATTGCCACCTCGGAACAGAGCACAGGCTCCTGTGACACCAGCCCAGACACCATCTCGCCCTCTTTCAGCCCTGGCTTTGAGGACCTGTCCCACGTCCAGCCTGATTCCCCTGCCATCAATGGCCACAGCCAGACGGATGACAAGGAGATACAGGGTGAATAGCCCTGCTCCCAGCTCAGAGGGGTCACAGGGCTCTCCAGGTGTCTGAGGTGGTAGTGGGTAACCCTGCCTCCAGACGGTCAGCTTTGCCATCCTATTCTGTCACGCAGGGCACTCTGGGAGACAAGGCTGCCTCCCAGGGGTGTGGAATTCCTGAGGGTCTGTCATTCCCACTCCTTCCTCACTGAGAGCATCTCTCTCCTTCAGACCCTCTTCCGGGCCAGGGGATGAGCAGTCATTTGGAGTCAATGGGCTGGGCACAAGGAAGCTTTTTCAGAGCCAGGGCTGAGGTCTGCTCTGAACAACACTTAAAGGTTCCCAAAGACAAAAGCCAGATATCCCGTCTCAGCGCCCCCAGTCAGGACCTCCTTGAGGTGGGCAAGCACTATCATGTCTGAGTTCACCACACCCCCTTCCTGCACATATAGTTCTGGTGTCCCTGTCCCTTCCTCCAATGAAAGTATTAAATACTTTCTCAAATCGGTATCTCAAGGCTTCTGAAACAATTGTAGAAAGCTCACAAAAGAACCTGCTCCTCAATCCACTGAACCCCAAGCGTGATAAGGCCCATGTCTGTCTGACTAGAGAAGTGGATGGACCCTGAGGGCCCTGCAGGCTTCTCCCAGGGCCTCCATGAAGCAAGCCAAGCCACCTTGGAAAACAGAAATTAATGGAATATTTTTGTATTTGATGTTTACAGATGCTGTTGGGGAGTTATTAATAAAAAGACTCCATTACTAAAAAGAAAAGGATGTACCTAGCAGTGGCTTTTCCCCATGGTCGGGTCCATCGGCTCAGAAAGGGGAGAAGTGCTGGGTGTAGGAGGGACAGGATGGGGTACACACAGCCAGGCACCACTGAATTAGAAAGATGTGGCTGCCCTTGGTGGGAATCTCAGGTGGTGGCAGCCATAATAACCCAAATTCCTATCATTGTTGCTCACAACACTTCCCTTACCTCAGAGACTTTTCAACCTTTTTCATTTCATGGCACACATTAATTAATAAAATTACACAGCACATCAGAAAATATATATTTTTTTGCCTGACCCCCCCAAAAGGTGTAATTTTGATTCATTCACACTGGACAACTATTTTGTTGGCTGTTATTTTATTTGACAATCTAAAAGGAACGGGGTCATTGCCCCTATTTATATTGCCCCAATAAATAGGTATTGCATGTTTTAAAAATTCTTGCAGCACCAGTTGAAATCGATGCCTTACCTCCTTGAATAACTCCTCCAGATCTCAGTCACAGGGCACTGAGCTGGGTCCGCTTCCCCATTAGAAACTCAGAGTCCCTTCATCTTTGAAGTTATGTTATTAAAGGCATCTTCCCAGACATGAGAGTGTCTGCTTTTGCCTGGTCCGTAGGAGTAACAGTGAGAGTTCAAGGAAGTAAAGAGGTACGCTGCCAAACCTGCAAGTAACTTTTCCGTTCTCACCTCTTTCATGCGCCTGCCACTTTTTTAGCCTTCCACCAGTCTCCTGGGTCCCACCCCATTCTCTTGAGTAAATGCAGCGACCCCACCTGCTCTCCCTGCTTCCCCGCGCGCCGCCCCAAATCTGCGCACAGCCACTAGAAAGTTTTAGAATAACTGATTCTGGATGTTAGGTGCCTAGATGGCTCCCGCGCCTCCTACCTTTTCTACTACCCCGCTTTCCGAACCCGTAGATCCTGTGTTTAATGCCTTCGATTAAGCACAAAAGAGCCTGCTCTACCCAGTAACTACTCGAGGGCCCACAAGGTGCGGCCTTCGGCCGACCCTGAGACTGCAGGTGGAAATACACGGTAAAATGTGGCAATCTTCTCATTTGAACCAAGGCGGAAGCCCACAGACGGAAGCAGGTAGCAGACGCTCGCCCACAAGACACCACGGCTTCGTTCGCCAGCACGCAACATGGCGGCGGGGCGGGGCAATACGCGCGTCGCGAATTGTGACGCATTCGTGCAGCGTGCTCGGTGCGCAGGCGCTCACGGCGGCGATTTGGCCGTTTCCGGTTGTGCCGCCCTCTTTCTTCTCAACGAGGCGGCGGAGTGTGTTGGCTGTGGCGTCTGTGCGGGTTCGCTTTGGGCCTGGGTCAAGTGGGAGGCAGCAGGGAACTCGGGGCGCTGGGCAGCGGAGGGGGCAGCTCAAGTCGGTTTGTGCGAGGCAGGCTCCGCGGGTCAGCTAAGGAGGGCATATTGGGCCTGAGTTCTAGGCCCCAATAGGGCCCCGGGAAACGAACCTGACTTGGGACGACAATGTGTTACCGCGCCACCGGCCCAAGCTATCTGACGGGGCCTTGGGGCGGAGATGGGTCTCTTGGGCAGATCTGAGTTATTGGGATGGGATATTAAACATGTAAACGTTTTCTCCGTGCCAAACACTGCCAGTTCCTTTAAAAGTATTAAACCCTTCCCACTTACCGAGCTGGGTCTCAATCTGCCTCCTTTTTCCACATCTGTAAGTAGAGGCTGGTAGTGTTTATCTTGTAGGATTTTTTTAAGTGGAAAAAAAAAAGTCTGTGTAAACAAGTATGTGGCGCGTGGTTGGTAGATAATTATGGGTTGGAGCAAAGGCAAGAGGTGTGGTCTGAGAAGTTTGGGGGTAACTGAGAAGGAAGCCAAAGTGAGTATGAGCTTAGAGTTGTAGCCAAGATGGGATTCCCACCCAACCTTCAGGAAGGGTATTTTGTGGAGCACTTGTGGCCAGGAACTGGAGGAGGGGAGGTTGGTGGATGGATTGATGGAACCTCCAGATAACACCTGGGGAAAATGTCTGTCATGATGGTACCCAGGGTATATGCTTCTCATTGCATCTGCAGTGAGAACATTTGTTCCCATCTGCATGGGAACAAATAGGCACTGGGGTGGGCCTGCAGTTGGGGTCACCATGGACAGGACTGGTAGTCAGGGCCCAGGTTTAGGATGCTCAGTCCTGCAGTACTCACTACTTTGTCCCAGCCTCCCCAGCAGACACAGAGATGCAGATCTTTGTCAAAACCCTGACTGGCAAGACCATCACCCTTGAGGTTGAGCCCAGTGACACCATTGAGAATGTCAAAGCTAAAATCCAAGACAAGGAGGGTAAGTTGGGCCAGGTCTGGGTGCTGAGGCCTTGCCAGTGCTTCTTCTGCATAATCTCAGGAAGGCATCTTGTCATTTCTACACAGATTTCCCTTTTGAGGGGTTAGGATTTGTTTTCTTTTTTTTTATTTACTTTTAGAGGGGGGGAGGGAGGGAGGAAGAGGAGAGAAACATCAACGTGCTGTAGCCTCTCAAACACCCCTAACTGGGGATTGAACCAGCTGGCACTCCATCCAGGACAGAGAATTAATGGTGGAGAAGTCCTGTGGGGGAGGGAGAGCTGCCAGTAAGGTTTGCCAGAGTCTCAGTAACTGAGTTTGTCTTGATCCATAGGCATCCCACCTGACCAGCAGCGACTGATTTTTGCGGGCAAACAGCTGGAGGATGGCCGCACTCTCTCAGACTACAACATTCAGAAAGGTACTGCGTGTGTCTTCACCAGACAGGGGCCCTTACCTGTTGGGAAGCCAGGGATTTATTGGCCTCAAACTCCTTGAGGGCTGGTGTGGCCATCTCCCAAAGGATTCTGACGACTACCCATCACACCTGAGCAGCTCTGGTCGACAGGGCACTGAAGGGCTCTGCCCTGTTCCTGTGGGCCAAGATTGGGCACTGACAGCCTCATTGGCACCAGGGGTGGGGTAGTCCTTAAGGCGAGGATCACAGGAGCTTGGGGAGACTTGAGCAAAATACTGTTTTCATCCCTGGAATCCATCTCATGATTGCTACCTGTGTTTCCAAATGGCAGCGATTTCCCACATTCTTGCTCGCTTTTTTTGTTTTTTAAATGTGGTAACTACTATAAAGGAAATCAGTGTCACTCTTGGCAATTGTCAAGCTTTATCCTGCCTAGCAAAAATAAAGTGTCACTCCTACACCACTTAGAAATCACCTTAACTGTTGGGAAGCCGGCTGGACACTGCTGTTGGCATTTATTAGCCTCAAACTCCCTGAGGGCTGGTGTGGCCATATCCCAAAGGAAGCTGACATGTACCTGTTAGACCTGAGAAGCTCTGGTCTGCAGGGCACTAGAAGGCTCTACCTTGTACCTGTGGACCAAGTCTTGGGCCCAGGCTAAGTCACTCTCCCCAATCCTCATTTCTTGTAGAGTCCACCCTGCACTTGGTGCTTCGTCTGCGTGGTGGCATCATCGAGCCCTCCCTCCGCCAGCTCGCCCAGAAATACAACTGTGACAAGATGATCTGCCGCAAGTAATGCAAGCTTGGGGTTGGGAGCGGCTGTCCCTGGGAAGAGTGTTCAGGTACCCTGACCACTCCCTTCTCTTCCTTTGCAGGTGTTATGCCCGCCTGCACCCCCGCGCTGTCAACTGCCGCAAGAAGAAGTGTGGCCACACCAACAACCTGCGCCCCAAGAAGAAGGTTAAATAAGACCCCTCCATCACCTCCTCTGGCCTATAGGGCAGTCTTCTGCCTAATCCCTGTGACCCTGGGGCCTCAATAAAGTTTCCCTTTCATTGACTGGAGCAGTAACTGGTGTCCATGTGGCTTGTCTATCTAGTGGGGAAGGTTTACAAGAAGTGGGCATCTTCTTTAGGGACTGGACTGCATGTCTCTTGATTCTGCAGGGCCCTTGGGAGTCCTGTCCTTTTAGGTTTCATCTGTAAAACGGGTTGTGGTCCTTGCCCTCTTCCATGTATCCTACCGTGCCCACCCATCTCAGTTCTGTCATCAATAATGGGAGTGGAGACCTCAGGCCAGGGGCTGGTGGAACTATCCCTACCTAGCAATAAACACCCGTTCTTAATTTTTGATGTAGAAGCACATGGGTCCCACCTGAGAACAGTGATTTTGAGAGTAGGCCTTTTTTTTTTTTAAAAAGACATGTTTTGGCAAGTTAGGTGAGGGCTGTTCATTGGACACCCTGAGAAAGCCATGCTTGGGGGGGGGGATTAGGGCTTGATGTAGGTGGCAACCCAGGTCTGGAAAATGCCTAAGATTAGCTGAGACCTGCATTGCCAGCTAAAGGCCAGAATCTTAAGTCATTCCATATCTGTTTCAACCCTGTGAAACTACACTTGCTCCTCTGTAAGCCAGGCCATCGCCATCTTAATGGTCCTGTTTTGACTGCTGAAAAAGGAAACTTACAGTTCTAAGTGGTTGGTCATCAGTGGAAAGCTTGGAAGCCACCTCTGCCCTTAATATGAAGCCCTGTTTGCCTCACCCCTGCTCCCAGGCTCCTCCCTTCAGATCATTCTGAGGTCTTTATACAGTCTGAGAGTCTGAATTGAAGTCCCACTTGTCACAACCTTGTGCATTGGATGGCACACCAGTTTTCCTTGTGTGGGGACTAAAATGTGAAAGGAAGTCGGTGTTGACGTAAGCATGTAGCAGCCTACAAACTGAGGGACAGTCTATACTCAAAGACATACACTCAAGGACAAATTAAAGCCCTGGGCGAGAGCATGGGTGGAGGGGTGCCTAGTGCCTAGTATCCCCATTTTCAAGGTTTCCCATTTGAAGGGCCATAGGCTGCGGTCTGGAGACCTCCGAGCCTGTAGGGGGCGCCCAGCGGAGCAACGTCCTGGGCATGTCTGCAAAGTCATGATCAGAGGCTGCGCCAGCTGTCCGCATCACCCGGCAGCTGGAGGAGCTCCAGAATTCCAGGGATCTATGTGGCTGGCCCTGTGTGAATCTGGGCGGAGCAGAAACGGCGCGGGTTGGGTGATTCGGGTTGGATGCTCTGGCTTTGTACTCCCTCTCCAACATCTGGACACTGGTGCAGCGCATCCACCAACTGCAAGCTAAGCAAGTGCAGGCCTTCCGCAAGCTGGAGGAGTAAATGCTGGTACTGGAGTGAGCTGGGGTCGTAGGGTTCAGCCGTATGCTTGCATCAGAGGTGGGCGTGCCCGGGAGTGCAGCTGGGTCCCAGCACAGCTGCTTTGACATAGGCGGGGCAGGGTTTGCGAGGGGACCCAGGGTATGTCAGGACTCACACCTCAGGATGTCTCTACCCCAAACGCAGAGTTGAGCCTAGTTCCTCTGCAGAAATCATTGTCTCCCACACTCGGGTCTACACTTTATCGGGGGTAGCTTTCACGTGGCCGATGCAGGTGCAGGGTCTGAGACTCCCAGAGGTGTAGCCTCAGGACCCCCTCTACCACAGTGACACAGCCAGTACCTGCACAGTGTCCCAACATACGTCTTCAGGCGCTACTGGACCACAGTGCACAAGTGACCCAGGCCTTCGCTGCCTCGTGGGAGCTGCTAGGGGTGAAGGCCGAGCTGGCCAGCCCCAGAGCACAGCGGCCGCTCGCCTGCCATGTGCACAGCCTACAGCTGCTGCAGCAGACCCTTGCCACCTGCTGCTGCCCGCTACTCCAAAGCCTAATTTCTCCCGCTGTGGCCTGCTGGGCTTACTCTGCGCCCTCATGGAAAGGGCCAGAAGACTCCCGTCCACTACAACCCCTGACCCGGGAGCCCCCGACCCCGGAGCCCCAAACCACACCTCTTCCCACCTCTTCCCAATTGTCCTCTAAGGCTTCACTCGAGATTCTCTGGACCCCTGGTCCCCACCTGTCCACTGGGTTACATTAATGCTGTCCTGGATGACCTGCCCCCACCCCCACAACACTCCTTCCCTCTGGCTCTTCTTAAAGCCTTAGGACCAGTCCTCAACTGTTCAATGGGTTTTCAGGCCCTGCCCCGCCCCCAGAGTAACCCTAGACCCTAGCCTAAATTCTGAGCCTACTCTTGCCCTAGGGTTCCAAGGCCCTGTGTACTATGCCTCTACAGCCAATCCCGTCTGAAATACACTATTCCCAGACTAAGTCCATGCGAAGCCATGCCCGTATCACACTCTACTTGGGATTCCATGGCCAACCACACTTCCAAGATCAGGTTCCTAGTTTAGGTTTTCGGCCTACTTCCACCCTGGAATTATAGCATTCTGTCTCGCCCACAAGACCATGAGCCTCCAACTACTCTGCCCCTGCAACCAATACCTAGCTGACTGCCAGTCCCATACCACCACTACATGCAGGCTACAGGATGCTCTGCACTGACTCTAGAGCTTGCCTACTCTACCCCCTCCTCAGAAGTCCCTGTTAATTGAATCCCAGGCTTCTCCCATACAAAGCACCTTCTGCCACTCCCCACCAGTGGTCCCACCCCTTCACTGCTTTTCTGGTGTCTCTTCTTCTGATGGGGGGGGGGGCAGGAAGTAGCCTTTGCCTTCTGTGATATCCTCCTTGCTGCCCCTCCCGCCCTGCCCCCTACACCAGGTGGCCCTGCTGCAATCATGAGGGCACCAGAGCTGACAGGGCAAGAGGACACCCTACAGCTGTGCTGGCTGATGATAAAGTGAGTGCCTCCTACCAGTGGCCTGGCCATGCTAGATTTATTGCACATGGGCTGGGCACGTGCTCCCAGGCAGGTGTGCTCTAGCGCTGCCACCATCAGACCCTCTGGACCTGCACACAGCCCAAAGGGTGTGCACACTGGAGTCTGCACCTGGTGGTTCCCAGATATAGCGCATTCCCCAAGTGCATACACCCTCCATTTCCACACCAGACTTGCTACTCATTTCTGGGGCAGCTGTACATCTCAGATACCAATCCTGCTTATATGGTTGGACTTGGAGCTTGGACACATCACCCAGGTGCCACTGGACACATGCCTGCACATTCCTGCCCCAAGCGCACACACATGCACACTCCTTCATCTGCTACAGTAACATTGTGAACCCTCTTGATAGGATACATTCACCCAAAATGACCTGTTCTCTATGCCCACTGTGACCTACAGGAACACCCCTATTTCCAGGCACCCAAATGGCCCTCCTGGACACCAATGCTGCCTAGAGGTTTGGTGGTAGGCAGGGGAGCCCAGAGTTTGCCACAGCCCCCTGAGAGCTGCACAGTGGAGGCTAATTTGCCCTATCTGGGTTTTATTTATAGTTCCCATTCACTCTTATAGGGTAATTAAAACCTTTAAAGCTGTCAGCAAGGTTCTCCAGGACCTCAGGTTTGATGCAGAATCGCTGAGTGATTGATGGTGACTCCCCAGGAACCAGCTGAGGTCAGACATGGGAAAGGGGTCGGGCACCCAGCTTTGACTGCTAGCTGGCTGGGATTCAGCCCCACTGGGCTATTAACAATACCTCCTTGAGGTCACCACGTCTCACACAAATAAAGGACCCTCCACCTGCAGCTGCTCTACTGTCTCTGCATCCTGGGGTGCTGGGGTGTGTATACCTGGTGAGGGGGGCCCACAGGGGCAGGGATGGAGGGTGGGAGACTCCCTTTTGCCAGACTGATCAAATTCTGGTGTTTTGAATCACACTCTCCAAGGAGCTTAGAAACATGGTTCTAATCCTGAGGAGAAAATGCCTGAAATTCTAGGGAAGTGAGGATTTCATTCGAAAAGTGTCCTCATGTCTCCTCTACAGTTCCTACCCCAGGCCTCTGCAACCCCAAACTCACCTTAATAATCAGGGTACCTAAGTAGCTCATTTATTTTAAAAGATTCTTTGGTGGGGTCCTGGGTGAGAGAAGTAATGACTCCTCTTCACCCTCAACCCTGTGAGGGATTCTGGGCAGCTTGGCCAACCCTCCCCCGCCCTCCCCCGCCCCCAGGGTGGACCTAAGGGTGGCTTCACATGCAGGACAGAGATGTGATCCCTGGAGCTCAGTGCCCACTCCAGCTCCTTCCTGCCAAGGGTGTTCAGGTACCACGAAGTGAGGGTACAGCAGAGGTGGCCCCAGTCTGGGTGTGACCCTGGGTCTCCACGAAGCGAGGGCAGCTCCAGACCTTAGAGTTTATCTGGCAGGACCTGTAGGCAGAGGGGAAGCCAGGCTAAGCAGGGAGCCTGGGATGGGCCAGCACTGCAGATCAACTGAGGAGCCCCCACCCTCCTTCCAGTTCAGATACTGGCCCCACCACTTTCAGATGAGTGACCCTGGGCAGGGTATTGCCTCTCCCTGGGCCTTGGTTCCCCATCTGCAACTACCTACCCACCCCAGGGGGTGTACTGCAGGTAAAGCCTTTGGCAAAGGGCCACATGCAGTAGGCGCTGAAACATGCTAACTTGAGCCAGTATGTTCATTTATTCCTGAGGATGACGTTCCACTTTGCCCATTTTCACGGAGTTGGGTGTTCTTACTAGGCTAAAAGCCAGAGGGCCAGGCACACAGTTGTCGCTAAGTGAATGCTGGTAAATAAAACTGAAGGCCCATGGCCTATTGGCCATCAGGAAGGGCCACTGTCTTCCTATCACCCATCCACCTGGGCCCCCCTTACCTCTCGCCGCGCTGCGTCTGCCCGAGGGCAGGATCCCCTCGTCCTGTGCTTGGAAGGAAGGAGGTGGTGTCTGGGGGCTGCAAACCTACCTTTCCGCCCCACCCCTCATCCTTCGCCCACGGGTCCCTCCTTCCTACCTGGTTTCGCGTCTTGTGCGATTTCTGCATCCAAGCTCGCCACTGGTCGTAGAGGCGGAAGCTGAGGTTCGAGCAGTACGCGTGCTTCTTGAGCCAGCCGAGGAACTGCTTGAGCTCGCGCCGCACCGGCCCCGAGCTCGGCTCTCCGCCCCGTGGCTCGCAGGCCGCGCCGCCCGGACCCGAACGTTCTGAGGGCGGAGCGGCAGCGTCAGGGCGAACCCGACAGAGGGCGCGCGCGGGCAGCAGAGAGAGGGTCCCTGCGCGGCAGACTGCGTTCCCCTCGGGGACCTCCCCCCCCCATTTCCATGAGGCCAGACAGGGTCCTCCCCACCGCCCAGCCCAGCAGCCCAGCTGCGCCCCTGAGGAGGTGGGGGAGGGTTGGGAAAGGAAGGGCCTCCCCCTCCACATCTCCTCCAGGGACTCGATTCCTGTGGCCTGAGCCAGGTGTGAGAGGAGGGAGTTGGAGAGAAGGTGAGAGAAGTCAAGTCCCAAAGGATGAGACGCTGAGAAAGATCATGGGACAGAAACAGGGAGAAACAGAGGCAGAGACTGAGAGGTGGGGACAAAGAGAGACGGGAGATACGGGGAAGACGAACGCCATGAGGATCAGACAAGGAAATTCAGAGGACAAGGTATGGAGAAAGTGGGGGGGACAGAAAGCCTGGGGATTGAAACCAAGGAAAGCAGAAAGAGACGAAGAGAGTGACAGAGTGACAGACAGCCCCTGGGAGCATGAGCCAATGGGATGGGGAGCGGGTGGGAGGGCCAGATGGGAGGCCCGCCTGCCGGTACAGCTGCTCAACTCAGCCAGCCCCAAACAGGCCGGCGGATAAGGACATCGGCCTCACGTCATAAATAACACAGGGGACCCGCTGACAGGCCCTGGCACAGCCCAGGCCCCTGCTGGCCTCCCCCAGTCTCCCCAGCCTCCTCTGCAGACGCAGCCGCCTTCTGGCTCCCGTGCAAGAATCGCAGGTGCTGGGCACGAGCAGGGGCCAAGGCTCAGCCCCTCCCAGTCATGCTAGCTCCGCCCACCCCAGAACCTGGAGGGCCCCACAATGGGGGCTGGGGAGCTAGCTGGCTTGAGCTAAGCTCTGCCCCTCCCTGGTTCTAAGACCCTCTCTGGGCCTTGGCTTCCCCATCATCCCAGGAGTGAGCGTGGGCCTGGACTTCCAGCAAATCGAGTTCAGATTCCTGTATGACTTTGGAGGCTGGCTAAACCTCCTGGGGCCAATGTCCTCACCTGAGAAAAGGGGGCCACCGTTTCAGTGAAAAGGATAGGAGGAGAAGGGGGAGGGAGGCTTAGGTGGTGCTCACTATGAGGGCACTTTCTGTGGGTTATCGCACTGCATCTCACCTGCACAGCAGCCTGAGACAGAAGTCATTATCGTCCCCACTTTCCAGATGGGTAAGCTGAAGCCAGACATTTCAAGTAACAGATTTCATATCATTTCACAAAAGAGAGAATGAAGGTCTCTGGGCTAAGAGGAACCCCAGACTGCAAGAAGAGCCAGACCCCCTTTTGCTCCTCTGATCATCCCCAGCCCCCTACCTGGGTCAGAAGGGGAAACTGAGGCCCATCAGAGGGGCAGTTGGCAGCCCATTAGCCTTGAAAGCAGGGGTCTCAAACTCACTTGCCCTTAGGGACTGGGGAGGAGGTACAGGTGGGTGAAAAGGGCCAGTTGGGGATGAGGCAACTGGAGAAAGAGGACCAGGCATAAAGGGGCAGCCTATGCTGATAGGGGCTGTGAAGCAACACTGGCTGTGTCCTATTACATCTTCTAGAAAATTTTCCTAGGGCATCTAGGATATGTGTGTTAAAACTTCCTGGTTTTTTTAAAAATTAATTTATTTTTAGAGAGGGGAAGAAGGGGAGAAAGGGAAGAAGAGAAACATCAATGTGTGGTTGCCTCTTGTGCCCCCCACACTGAGGACCTGGCCCCCAACCCAGGCATGTGCCCAGACTGGGAATTGAACCCTTTGGTTCGTAGGTCGGTGCTCAATCCACTGAGCCATACCACCTAGGGCAAAAACTTCCTGTTGTTAAATGTGTGCAAGTAAATCAAAGTTGTGGTGTTTCCTTTTTTTTTTTCCAAATGACAGGTCAAAGAAAATAGATTCAGGGGCCAAATTTGGCTCCAGGGCCACCAGTTTGAGATCTCTGTTCTCCTGGAGAAACAAAACAAAACACAACAAAACAAGAAAACAGAAGCCCAGGCTGATTTAGGACTGTTCCTGTAACCCCTAGGCCTGTTGCGATGCTCACCGCTGCGGGGGGTGGAGGCTGCAGTGGGGTGGCTCCACTCGCTCCAGATCCCTGCCTTTTTGGAGCCGTAGATGCCAAAGGGGTTGCAGCGCACTTGCACGAAGTACACGGTGCCTGGCTTCAGGCCCGCCAGGCGACACGAGGTCTGGTTGCTCACGTCGTCCACCACCTGGGCAGCAAGGGCAAGGTCAGAGGTCAGGGCGGGTCAGACCAGGACAGGGCAGGTCTGGGGGACGGGGCGGACACCTTCCAATCCACACTGTCCTCCACGCGGTAGCGAATCTGGTACTTGGCTTGGAAGAGGAAGTCCTTGAGGGCCGGCGGGGAAACCCAGCGAACGCTCAGCTGGTCCTCCAGGCCCCCTACACGGCTCACGTGCACGTCAGGCGGGGGATCCGTGGTCACTGCAGGGCGGGGTGGGGCGGGGCTTAGTCACAGGCTCCTCTGACCCAGCTGGCCCCTAATTGGGTTCAAATCCCAGAGCACATGGCTTAGGTGGCACCTGCTTCCGTTCTCCCCACTCCCACGCCACCCCCCCTCGAAGATGGGTGGATTACATTAGACAATATTCGGGAAACACTCAGCGCCTAGAAGCACTCAATTAATGTTAGCTGTTATCACCATTATTATCTGTGACAGGAGCAACATAATCCTATCTTCAGGGAATTCTGCAAAAGCAGACACTGCCTAGCTGATATTATTATTATTATTATTATTATTATTATTATTATTATTACTCCCAGGAGGCCAGGGGACCATCACCCCTCACCTCCAGCTCCTTTCCACCTTACAAAGGTCATCATTATGTTGACCAGATGGTAGGGCCTTGCTGGGTGCAGAGGGACAACTGAAGCTGAGAACATGCCCACCAGAGCTTCAAGACTTCAGGAAACAAGTGGGAAGCAGGCTGGGATAAGGGTAGCTCCAAGCCAGGAGGAATCTGGGATCCTTCTAGGAGCCCTGTGGGAAGGAGGGAGAGCTGGTTCTCCCCCTGAGGCCTTGGAGAGGGGCTGAAAGGGTTAAGGCACAGGCCTGCTCAGGGCTGAGAAACACCCTAATTAGATTAGGCCCAATTCTGCTGCAGATCATCCATTTCCTGCCTCCTGCCTGGAACACCCCCCACCCCCAGCTCCAGGCTGTGGCTTCCTGGGGTGCCTGAGACCTGGGCATCCCCTCCCAGCCGAGGGGTGGGGGCCCTCCAGTATACCTGGGCTTCGGAGAAGGGGGCCAAGCCAGGTATTCTCCTCAGAGTGGAACTATCCTGGCTAATTCAGGGCGCTACAAATCAGTGGGTACTCCCCACCCAACCATCAGTGTTGGACCAGAGATGCAGCCATGGCCGGGCTTGGT